GACTATTTTACTTCATCTTTTAACAAGAGGATGTAGTTCTTAGGGCATTTTATTATTTACAAATCAAATAAAAAAATACAACATAACTATGTCTGGAAGTCTGTAAGAACACTGGAAAAAAAACTAAATCTAGATAAGTTGTTTTTTCTTAAAATAAGTGCATTTGTTCTTGGATTTAGTAGGTAAAAGAGAGATTTTGCCAATGGAACAAGACAATTTACACTTACAATAAGAAAACACAATTGCATCGTCTTATTTCAGGTGCATTTTATCTAATTATTTTATTTTAAGAGCAAAAATACTCATTTACCTACTCAAATTAAGCGTAAACACACTTAATTTAAGACATTTCTACTTATTTTTAGATCCTTTTTCCAGTGAAATCGAAATAAATACAAAATAAAATCATGTTATAAACCTGTATTTATAAAACTTGACATCCTCTGAGTAACTGGATGAATTGGGAACGAAATACGGAACAAAACTTATAGTCAGACTCAGTTAATTAGTTTTACTTTGTTTTCATCAAGAAACCCGAGCTGCTTTGATCTCCTACTGTATAGCTCATTGCTTTTTAAATGCGTCTTCACAAAGTAAAACCGATCCAGCCCTATTTTATTTTACTACGTTTAAAATAAAAATATTTTCATGTACCCCTTGCAATGCGCTTGCCGACCACTAGGGGTACGCGTACCCCAGGCTGGGAAACACTGGTGTAAGAGTCCAATAAACATTTATAACTGTTAGTGTCGATAAGGCTACAACCATATGAGATAAAAACGGGGTATAAAATGTGCTCTGAATTATTTCTATTTTATTTATTTTTCTACTAACATTATTAAACAATAATTTAAAGTAAATTTCAGAAAGATTAGATAGCTAACATACTAGGTTATGGTTCCTTTAAACAAATCCAGCATGAGGTGTCTGTGCAGACAATGTCACAGTGCCCCCTATGGGCCCGGCATGCAAACTACAGGACATTTAGTCCTTTATCTAAATAGTTTTTTTTTAAAAGGTAGCATTATTTAGTCTGCATGTGGGCGCAGCCTAAATCAAAGCCTGGATTAAATCTAAAACAGGCAGTCAGCGCTGGAAGAAACAGCCTAGTTAGAAAACAGAAAACTCTGCAAATTGGGTCAAACTTTCTTTTTACAGATTAGGATCATTGGGCCGTAATTCACCTACATCCATGACAGTTTACGTATCTTTTTTATCCTTGGCAAAAGTAGAATGATTTCTGTTTCTACTTATATAGTCGTATAAATCTTAAGCTTTAACAAAACCTGTGACAACAGAAGAAACACAGAGGAAATCTGCTGGGCAGGAATGTATCTTTATTGTCATGAATGCGTGAAAAGATGGCGGCCCTGTGTGGAAGCGGTTAGAGAAGAGCTGTGGCAGGAAGCAGGAAGGAGCAGCGTGAGCAAGGATACTAACGGATGACGGGAGTTTAGGAGATGATGGGCAGGAGTCAGAGTCTGGAGAGCTGTGCTTGGCCGCCGAAGCACACTCCTACCAACACAAGGCACAACATGATGAGTGGTAAAGAACTAGCAGCCAATCACAGGAAGATTGAGATTAGAGAGGAGACCTGGAGAAAATGAGGACTTGCTGGTATTTTCAGAGTTAAAGTGATAAATGTTAATAAAGGGGAGGGGGGTCACCAGAATTTGAAGGAGAGCAGCAACAAAAAGTAAGGTACAATATAATTAGTGTTGCGCTGATGCCATTTTTTTGGCCCCGATATCGATACCCGATACCTGGCTGTGCAGCATCGGCCGATACCGACACCATGTTTGAAATTGATGTGAGTGTATATATGAAAAACTGCAAAATAATTGGGTCTTAGGAAACAGAAAAAAAAAGAAATAAGTGACATCTTGACAAGCTGAGAAGATGCACTGCAAAAACTATCTAGAAACTGTCTTAAATGAAGCGTATTTAACCTTAATCTGAGTTGAATTACGAGGATCTGCCAATGGAATTAGATCTACTCTTAGAATAAGATAATTAGAAAATATGCATTATTTACATTTTTTTCAGTGTAACAAAGCTTAATTCTGACCTAAAACCCTTATTAATGTTTACTCTGGGTCATAGAAAGCATCATAAATCTGTTTGTAATCCCATTTTTTTTCACCGTCGTCCACCATTGCTGTCTAAGCTTGGCTGTTCCACGTTGATCCAAACGGTGGGCCATGAAGGACCCAATCCTGCTGCATTTGAAGGAGTCTTAAACCCTATCTCCAGCGGATTGGTTTTATCCACATCAGATTTGTAATAATCTGAGATTGTCTGTGTGTCTAATCCCGTGTAAATCCGCCATGTCAGTAATTTGTAAAGTAAACATTCCCCTGCAGAATACCTACTATATTTCGCTGTGTAACTCTGAGGTCCTGTAATAATACTAACCCAGAGAGGAAAGGGAATCATGGGGAATTCAACACTCCTGATGTTATATTTTATTGTTTTTTAGTGAAGAATGAAGGAGGAGGAGGTCGTTTTGGGTCCTAGGTCTGTAAACCTTAGCAGGAAAAAGGCTGGAGAAGGAGCAAATGCAAATGGTGGCTTAATATGACAAGATTTAAAAAGAAAAAAAAAGCTCTTTAATCATGTTTGTGGCTGAATTTAATTTAGTTATATCATAAAACATTAATATCCATATTAAATCCTGTTTTAAGAGCATCTGTGATAACGGCTGCTGCTCTGCTTTATTTAAATCTTAGAAAAGTGCTTATTTATATTTTCTACTTTTCAGTTTTTGATGTAGAAACACTGTTAGCCGTTTAATTTTAAAACATTTTAAAACATATTGTCATACGGATGTCGCTGAATGCTAAATCCTGTAGCTCTGTGAGCTAAAACAGCTATTATTAGCATTAAAATGTTCATTTTAAACGGGAGTGTGCTAAAATAAAGAGCTCCAGTTTCTAACAGAAGCTTTTTACTGTTAGCATCAAAATATTTTCTCAGTTATATTGAAACCAGAATGAAAGATGCTTCACTGTCACTTTAAACGGTCATCTTCTGATTTGATTTTGACTTCCTGTTAGCTTCTGCTAATGGTGTTAGCTCTAGCTAACATAATAAACAGTAGATCAAAAGCTGATTTCCACTGATATATTCATGTACAACAGTTCAAGAAAACTGTTAGCCCCGCTAACGTTAGCCTCCCTGTGTTTACTCCATTGGTTCCAGTTCTATAGGACCCCCCATCTACCCAGCATGCATTGCAAAGGTGAAAAAATTATGAACTCTATGAGAGAAATATATGAAAATGATTACATTTTAAGAAATAATGCATTTTTTTTAAATTTTATTTAACTGCATTCACCAAAGAAAAGACAGCTTATCTCGTTATTACGAGATTTTATCTCGTAATAATGAGATAAAATCTCGTAATAACGAGATCTTATCTAGTCATTATGATTAAAGATTTCATAATTATGAGGTTGGGCTGCTCAGTGGCGCAGCAGGTAGCACTGCTGCCTTGCAGAAGGTTCTGGGTTCGATTCCTTTCTACATGGAGTTTGCATGTTCTCCCTGAGCATGCGTGGGTTCTCTCCGGGTACTCCGCCTGTACCCCGCTTCTCGCCCATAGACGGGTAGAGATAGGCACCAGCACCAATCGCGACCCCGTTTGGGATTAAGCGTGTAAAAAAATGGATGGATGGATAATTACGAGATCTTATCTATATATTAGGG